ACCACACTTGCATTCCTGTAATAAAACTCAAACTGAGTCATAACTTGTGATCTTTTATATTTATCACAAGATTAAATTTGCTAATATCTTTGTTTAGGATTTTTGGATTTATGTAAGGAGTGACTTTGGCCTGTGATTTTTCCTTTGTCATATTTTTCTTGTCTAGTTTTATTATCTCTCATAGCCTCTTAGAATAAGAAATATTAGAAATTAGAATAAGAAAATATTTTTTTGGAAGAAATTATAAAGATAGAAGTACTCATTTCCTGAATGTTTAGCAGAATTCTGCTGCACAATCATCTGGGCCTTAGTGGGGGTTTTAAATTCTTGATTTAAGTTTTTTAGTGATTTCAGGGAATATTAAAGCTTTCTGTTTTCCTGAGACAGTTTTGGTAAGTTATATATTTGTCTATTCCATCTGAATCTTCAAACTTATTTTAATAACCTCATGTGTAATATTCTCATTATCTTTTAAATTTCTGCTTATTCTATCATTTTACCTTTGTCTTATACCTAAAATTATTTATTTGAGCCTCTTCTCTCTTTTATTTTCTTGATCAGTTTTGTCAAAGAGTCATCCATCAGTTATCTAAAATCCAACCTGTGACTTTGCCATCTTCTCTATCTTTGTTTCCTATGTCACTAATTTCTGCTCTTATATTTAGTATATCTTTCTATTTACATTCTGTGGGTTGGATTCTTTGTGCCTTGATTCCTAGCAAGCCTACTGATTTCCTTCTAAGTAGATTCTGGCTGCATCCTCAACTATTTGAAATAGTGATTTTATTTTCTTTGCAGTACAGAGATTGAACCCAGGGGTGCTCTTCTGAGCCACATCCCCAGCCCTTTTTATTTTTTATTTTGAGACAGGATCTCACTAAATTGCACAGGATGGCCTCAAACTTATAATCCTCCTGCCTCAGCCTCCAGAGCAGCTGGGATTACAGGCGTGCACCACTGCACCAGGCAATCTCATTAATTCGCTGGCTGCCTCTAAGAGCTTTTCAGTATGTCTAAGTGTGGCTTTACTTTTAAATTCACTTTTCCACCTTGTGGTATATGTTGTGTTTTCTACGTTTTTGAATCCAGTCTTTTGTTGGCTTTAAAAAATCCTAAGTTTCTGTCTCTTTAAAGTTTGCCTGTATCCCTATTCTTTCTTTTGGAACTCCAGTTATGATTATGTTAGACTATTTCATTTTAATAGCTCTTTCTTTTAACTTTCTTTTTATATTTTCAATATATTTGTCCTTTTTTGTATTCTGAGTCGTTTATTCAGCTCCATTTTGTGGGGGTGGGGAGGGGTGATACCGGGGATTGAACTCAGGGGCACTCAGCCACTGAGCCACATCCCCAGACCCATTTTGTATTTTATTTAGAGACAGGGTCTCACTGCGTTGCTTAGCACCTTGCTGTTGCTGAGGCTGGCTTTGAACTCGTCCTGCCTCAGCCTCCCAAGCCACTAGGATTATGGGTGAGCACTACTGTGCCCGGATTCAGCTCCATTTTTGAATGCACTAATTTCTTCCAGTCAACAAATTTGGGTTGTTTCCAACAATTCTTCATTTCTGAAGGTTTTATTTTTCATCATGCCTGGTTCTTCATAGTGTCTTATCGATACTTATTTTTCAAGACTCTAGTTCTTTAGATATTTAATATATCATCATTTTCAATTTGACAATTCTCCTTTGAAGTCCCCGGTGGTGGTTTCTGTGGATTCTCACCAACGGTTTGTTGATCATAGATGCCAAGTTCCTCTTTAGTTGGCATGAACCCAGGTTGTTTTTCACCAGAAAGGACTTGAATTTGCTCCTGCCATGAGCCAAAGAGAGCTTTGTCTTGTTTGTTTATCTGTGTGTTCCCGTTTGCTTTCTGCCCTGGTGATTTCTCTTACCTCCTGAGAGTTCAGCAGCGCTTTCTAAATATGTCTTTTGTTCAGAAACTATAGCTGTTTTGCAACAGGGGGACCCTTCAGAAAGTGGAAGCCCTAATGAGTTCTTTGGGCAGGGAAAAGTTTTCACCAGTGACTAAAATTAAATTTTCAAGAGTAGGTTCTGCACAGGATGGGAATTATAGAAATAAAGTAGATTTCTGGTCCCATAAATAATATGAACACTCAGTGAACACGGGGTTGATGGCTGACTTCACGGGAGGGCTGGCAGTGGAGGATTGGGTTGCTTAGTGCATCAAAGGGTCCATTTGTGATTGTTCACTTCTGAACTAGGAAAACAAAAACACAGCCAAAGTGTTTTTGAGTAACTATTAGAGACTAAACCCAGAAAAAATAAACTCTCTGGAATTATGGTAATTTGTGGGAGAAAACAATTTAACTGAACAAAATCCATTTTGCACACTTCCCAGGAAACACAATTAGATGCATTTCTCTTTAGACCAAAAAACAAAAACCCCAAAACATAAAACCAAAAAACCAAACCAACACAACAACAAAAAAGAAAAATGAACGAAACCTATAATCAAGTTTTTTTAAAACCCTACTATGTGTCTCTTACCAACTCCCTTTTCACTTTCTCCAACAATTATCTTTAACCCTTGAAGCCCAGCCTTCTTTCCCTGTCAGTCTCAGCAGATGCATTGTTTATTTTTCCATAAAGGATAAAGATGTCATTGGAAGGGAACTGCCATAGTCAAAGTCAGTCCCTTCCCCCATTGACACCTCCCCTTTCCTCCTCCTTTCCTAGTTTTAAAGGACAAGCTGTCGACGCCCCCACCTGCCACATAACATACACGTCACCTGTGCTCTGGCTCTCAGCCTTTCCGGTGGCCTCTAGGACTTTGATGTTCTCTCATTCTTTGTCTCTGTCTATCATGTCTTCAACCACTCCTGTTCATCGAATGTTCCAGACATATTTAAAATGTGTTCAGGTTAGAACCATGGAAAGCATAACCAACCCTCCTTCAACTCCCCTCTTTCCTATTACCATCCTTTCTCTTTCCCCTTCTTTCCAGCCAAGTTTCAAGAGAGGTGTCCAGAATTCCTGTCTTCATGTCTTTGCTTCTTATTACTTATTTCCAATCTGGAAGTTTACCCCCAATGATCTATTGAAATCTGTACCATTAAGTTTCGTATTTCCAAACCCAGATGACATTGATTAGGTTTTGCTCTATTTGACTTCTTCATAACTTTCAACACACACACACACACACACATACACACATTTCTTTAGCCTTTATCTTAAAATTTCAGTTGTAGAGCAAAAGGGTTATTAGCTTTCTGTCACTGTGACAAAATACCTGAGATAATTCATTTATAAGGAGGAAAATTTATTTTGGCTCATGGTTTCAGTCCATGGTCAGTTGACTCTATTGCTTTTGGGCCTATGCTAACATAGTACATCATAGTGGCAGAGAGGGCTGTTCACCTCATGGCAGCCAGGAAACGGGGGGGAGGGATGGGGGTGACTGGAAGGGGCCAAGATCTTAATAGTATTCTTTAAGGGCATGCCCCCCAAAACCTAACTTTCTTCCTCTAGGTTGATCAACGATGTTTAGTTGAATATCACTGTATTTATCTTAAAATCAACTTACTGTAAGATTATTGCTCCATATGATAGTTGCTATTACTATTTTAAAGGCATATTTTAAATCAACTTTATTCCTAGCTTATATTTTAGACCTTTGGATTAAAAATTGTATGTACAGCTAAGTTATATTATTTCTGTAAGTTATATTACTCACTCCAGCTGAGTAAGCAGGGATTTTCAATGTTTGTTAGAAAAGGCCAGGGCTGGTCTGTTGGGACTGAGAATTTCTGCTTTGGTGGTAACAACTTACTCTTAATACAGAGACCAGGGAAGCAACCCAAGACCAGAAAGCTGCATTCCCAAGGGCCAACTCCATTGTTCTAGGAAAAGTTTCCACTTGCCCAATAGCCCAACGGTACCTCCCTTTCCAACTGACGGGAGCATTGTGGCCATTCCTTAGTTCTTGTGTGAGCTCTCTGAGTCGTGGGTACTTCCCACAGATCTTACTACTTCTTAGCCAACATCACTCTCCCAACATTAAGGGTGGGGGGACAGAGAGTAGAAGAGCAAAGCCCCAAGCATGAGATTGCTTTCACCTTAAACATTTTTTAAGTGAAGTTATTCTCCGGACATGGCTCTTTCTGTAGATAGCACATACCATGGACTCAAGATGGAGAAACCATTTTTTGGTTGTGGTTGGAAATGTGTTTTAGCTATAAGACAGTCTTCTGCCTGTGGGTTTCTTCTTTTCCTCTGTCTACAATAAGACTATCTAGTGACTTCCACAGAAAGGCCTGAGTGACAAGTGGGTGGTCTCCGAAGAGAGGACCTCTGTTCTGATGGGCCCAGGGCACCCAGGGGATGTAGTGCATGTCGTTCAAAAGTGCAAGATGGTGGCTCCAGGGGTGGGGTGTTTTCTCCCTCTGCTTTTGTGGGAACAGGATAGCGGTGTGCACAGGCACATGTGGCCAGGGCCCACAGGATCACGGGGCAGGTTAACGGTGCAGAGAGATGTGTATGTGCTGTAGACAGCAGAAGCAAAGGAAGCCAACCAAGCTCTTCTTCCTCAGAGTGTCCAAGGATTGACACCACCTGTGTCACCAGGGAGCTTATCAGCTATGCGCAATCTCAGGACTCACCTCACACCAGGCATGAGAAGTTGCATTTGAACCAAATTCTCATGCGACTTACAGGCATGTTATCATGCAAGAAGCACCACTGTTCTAACCCGCACTCAGGGCCTGGGCCTTCAGACCACTCCCAGAGCCCTCCCTTTGCTGTCCAGCTGGCCTAACTCAGACTTTGTCACCTAGATCTTAATCCATTTCCCACCGGTCCATCCCTGTGGGTCTCTCTGTCTGCCCTTCCTCAGTGGCTGGCTCTAACATTCTGTGTTCATCCCGATAGCCCCCAGCCCTTGGGCACTGTCTGACTGATAGCCAGCTCCATTCAGAAGGCTCGTTAAGTCCATGACTGGACCAGCTCACACATGGTCCACACACCAGAAAGTAAAGCCTGAAATTCTTGGAAGGTTAGATATTTATTTATGTTGCTTAAGACAAGCTCTATACAGTAAAAACAAAACACAGAGGCTGAATGGCATAATCATTAAACATCCACCTCGGACCACAGCATTTAGGATTTCCAGAGCACGTGGGTGGAGGCACTTTTGTACCGAGGCACATAGACTTTCCCAGGCCGCAGGGAGTGACCGGCTCTCTTGCCTAGTGAGGTAGGGAGGAACAGCAGTAGATACGGGTCAGGGCCAAGCCCAGGGCCCCTTCACTAGCTGATTGTCTGGTTGGCAGATGACAAGGACGCCTGTTTCCTCCTGTCACCCACCTTGGGACCATTTCTGCTCTGAAGGACTTTGTTTGGTGTCATCCTCTTTGGTGTAAGGAAGCACCCCAGCCAGGGAGCGATGGAGAAGGAACGGCTGACACCCACTGGGGCTGGGATCGTGGGAGGTTCATGTGCCAGTGTTTTCCCTGTTTCTTATTAGCAGGGAGACCACAGGCCCTCCCTGTGCCAAGCAAATGCCAATCTCTGCTCATCCGCCTTCAGGTGAACCTCTCATAGGCCGTTGCTGGCACTCTATCAGGACCAATTTATGTGACACGCTTCTGCCTCCAGCCTGGGGAAGCACCTTAGAAAACAGACCCCCCCCCCCCCACACACACACACAGCCCTCCTCCAGCAGCCACAGGCCTAATGAGAGGCTCCTACACTGAGTTTTTATTCCTTATCACTTAAGGACCCTAATGCAGTCTGTAGACATTAGTACGTGAAGCCTCTGGGGGCTGGCAGGGGCATCTCACACACTCTGTTGGCCTCTGAAGGCCCTACTCTCTTGGCTTCGTCAAAACATGCCTCCTGGTCCGGGAGCCCTCTGTGATCTTTGGGTTCAGAGATGACTTTTTGGTGGCTGATCATTCTAACCGGGGGAGGCAGGGCCGTAGGGGAGACTCAACAGAAAACAGCTGTTTATCAATAGAGAGCAAACCAGTTTTAGACTGAATCAGTGATGGGTGGCATGGGACTAGGGGACAGATGTTCTGTGACCCCGGCTGTGGTCTGGCCTCTTGTGCTTTGGGGCAGCAGTGTTTTAGAGTGGTAACTTTAATGGAAAAGTCCCTCTTAGCTGTTCTGAAACATGATACAGTAGTCCCCTCTTATCCTCAGGGATACTTATAGGACATCCCAACCCCCAGTGGATGCCTGAAACCTCGGATGGTATGGACTCTATATGAACATTCTTTCATATGCATACATTCCTGTGATAAGGTTTAATTAATAAATTAGGCACAGGAAGAGATGGACAGAAATAAAAACATACTGTAAAAAAATGTGTGGTCTCTCTATTAAAAGTCAAGACAAGTATTCATATTTTCAGACTGCAGTTAACCATGGAGAACTGAAAATAAGGACCATGAAACCGTGGATAAGAGGAGACTACTGTACCCCATGAGGGGGAACCAGGAGCCACTGTGATTTTCAGGGTGCTGGGAAGGAAGGCAGTTTCTCTGCCTCTCAATGGAGGACGTGTGAAGGTGCCCCATTATTTTTCCACAGAGCCAACTTAATGAAGACAGTCCTTCAGCCTTGAAGGCAGGTCCAAGAAGAGGCTCAGCCATGATACTCAGTAAGCAGGTGTGTGTCCCCTTCCTACCGACTGATCTGTAAAGGGTCTACTCTAAGCCTTCCAGGGAGACATTCAGAGTAACAATGAAAAGGTGAGAAGGCACAGTGGTTTAAAGAACGGTCACCACCTACTTAATGGAGAGAAAGCAATTACAGTTGCTCGGAAGACAGTTCATTAATGGCTCCACAAAGAAGTGCCTTCACACCCTCACAGGAGGATCCATTTGCAGGCTCCTGGTGACTCCCAACTTTCAAGGGGGAAAAAAATCTCCCTGGCTCAGTGAGAACCAGGTGCAGCAGCTTCAGCCCCAAAGCAACCCCCACCCTACGCCAAATGGGTGGACCTTAATTTGGCTCCCACCCTTCCCACCACTGACCAGGGGAGAAGAGAAGGGACCACAACCCCTGCCCACTGACATCTCCTCATCTCCAGGTGCCCTTAGGTTGCAGGTAGAGCTGTTGTCTCCCTGCCGCTTATGAGTCTCAGCTCCGCATGAGCCTTGGGAGAGCTGAAGGGGGACTAGGGTAGAGGATAAAGGCCGGTACTCACCAAGGCCAAAGCCTCTTCTGTACAAAAAGTGGGTATATCTCCGCAAAGGTCACAATAGCATGATCTTGCTATTTAACATCTGGCACTTGCTTTTAGCTACAAGTTGAAATCTCAGGGACCCAATTTTTTTTTTTAAGCTAAGTAAATATAATGGGAAGTCCTGTTAGATATGTAAAATACACGTACATCTATGACGCGCACACGTGTGTCATTCTGAATATTACTGCACACAGTTGCGTCCCAGGAATTCCAACCTCAAACCACCGCTTTGTGCGTGGACACTCCACATTGCTCCATCCAGAAAAGAAAACCCGAACAGGGCTCAGGCTGCCGACCCGCCCGCACCTCTGGAGCTGAAGCAGGCACCTCACACGTGGCTCGTCTTCTCCACCAGGATGTGGTCTGTGGGTAGCACAAACTTGATGGCGCCATCCTTCTCCCAGCCCCTGCGGATCTTGGCAAGTCTTCGGCTGAAACAGGGGAGGAGGAAGAGGCCTTTGGCCAGGATGATGACGCAGGGGACCAGCAGCGTGAGTGTGAAGGTGGGCGGCAGGTAGAACTTGTAGCGGTTCTCCTCGAAGGCGCGGGTCCAGCCGTAGGTGAGTGTGTGCAGCGTGGTCAGCACCAGGGCCACGAAGCCCAGCGTGGACTGCGGGAGCAAAAGGCAGGAATGAGGGCCTTTGGAGGACCCTGTGCCTGGTCCCCGGGGAGGGGCTGTAGAACTCAAGGCTGTGGTTTCCAGTCCCAGCCCAACCACTCAGCACATCTAAACTCTCTGACATGTCACTAGCAGAAAAATAAGACTTCTGTGTTGAAGGGATATAAGGGTTGATTAATGCAGATTCAATAAGATAACAATGATTCCCCCCCCCCCAACTGTTACCTGTGCTTCTGACAGCTGCCAGACAATTTTAGATGGAATTATGTTCAAAGGAACTGAAAAACATTTTAGTAGTTTTGTGTATATTTTAATGAAGAGTAATAAGTGTCCGCCAGCATACTGAAATCATAATTTCACAACTAGTTGGCTTAAGTTAAGGCTGGATAAAAAAATGAAATTGATTTTGAGTTGGCTTAAAGAGAAACACAAAGTAAATAATTTATAGATGGTATGTGGATGTGGCACCAACAGTTAAGGGGGTTCCTAGGGACCTGTGGTCTGAAGGTGACCTGGCACTATACAGAAAGCCTCAAACACCAGACAGATGCACTCAGTGCAGGCTGGTCTTTCACCTCCTGCCATGCTGAGTTATCAGCACCCCAGGTGGAACCCCCTAACCTTTCCCTTGGCCTGCCAAGAGCTGAACCCTAGTTTTTCTATGCAGGTGAGCTGCTCCAATTTGGGAATTTTGCAGTGTAATGATGTTTAGCTGACTGAGTTGGAATCCTTTAATGCAGCCGAAACCCACACCAAAATGGTCTTACCACAGGGAGGTAAGACCATTCCAGCTCCAATTGGAAATGGCCTTCTTATATCAGGGCTCCACCCCTTGAGCCACAGGTGGGCTTTTGTGGGTCACTGCCAGGTGCAACACATGCCCAGGAAGGGCTGATTCCTATAACTTCGGCCTCTTTTGCATGCCAGCATTCCCTGGACCACACAGGGAAGGTGCAGATTCTTCCCAGGTGCTAGTTCCCACAGACACTGACCCAGTTCCAATGGGAGGTCCTTCCTGCCCCTGTTTTCTGTGGAGGCACCAGAGTTGCAGAGATGGCTGGAAAGTGTCTTTTATCCCTGAGCTGACCAGTCTGAAACTGGTTTCAAACTTCCGCTGCACATTAAAATCACCTGGAGATTTGGGGGTGAGGTGGGGGGGACATTAGTGCCCGAGCTCCGTGCGCCCCCCCCGCCGGGAATTTAGATTAAATTGGTTTGGGGCAAGGCTCAGGCATCTGTTGTTTTCCAGAGTTCAGCAGATGATGCTAACGTGCAGCCAGGACTAAAGCACTAATTCTGGAAACTCACATCACCCACATCTTTCTAACTTGAGGTTGAAAAGTCCACATGGGTCCCTGTGCCCAGAAAGTCTGACAGGGGAGGACTTGGACCTATCTGTTCCTTAGACAAAGACCCCCCTGAGGGCCTTTCAGTGCCTGTGTGCTGTGTTGTGCTTTCCTCTAGATGGGGCAGCAACAAGAAGCTGCCCAGGCCTAGCATTAGCATCTCCCTTGGGTGACATACCCTATACTCCAGAGCCTGACACATATGGGCCACCATCCCCAATCTCTAATCTGGAGAGGGAGGGATGAGGTCTTGCACTGGGACAGCAGCCCCCAAGCCCACCAGAGGCAGCCAGCTCCTCCTGTTCATACATTCTCATGGTGTGTCATCCCAAGTCCCAGGATGCAGGTACCAGGAAGCACTAGCCTCGGGCAAAGAGTTCAGAGCAAGGGACAAGAGCCAAAGGTCAGCCAATAACCAAGGGCCACTTGACTTCCCAATCCTGGTGGAAAGCCCAGATGATTCCAGCGAGTTTCTGTCCCTAAAACTTTCTCTCCTTGGGAGCAATTTAATAATCCCAGAATGGCCAAAGGAAACCCAACAAAGGGGAGGGATTGTCACAGGGCAATTAATAACCCCCCAAGCCAGGGCCATTTTTATTTTGTGGAAGCTTGTTAGTAAAAAAGAAACAGCCAGGTCCTCGGTGGCTCCTGCTGGTGCTCAATTACTGCAGCATGAAGGGGCTCTGGACAATCGCTCATCAAGCGGGGGTCAGGCTGTTCTCTGTCATTATTTCAGGCGAGTGGCTGGAGTGAACAAGGTCACAGGAAGCTCCTCAAACTCTGGGGCAGAACTGAGGTGCTAAGAGCTGAACCCTAGTTTTTCTATGCAGGTGAGCTGCTCCAACCTGGGAATTTTGCAGTCTAATGATGTTTAGCTGACTGAATTGGAATCCTTTAATGCAGCCGAAACCCACACCAAAATAACGAAACCGCCCAAAGAAACACAGCCCCAAATTAAAACTTTGAAAACAGCCTTGGAAACAAAAGGACAAATGAAAATATGAGTTGCACTATCCCAATGGCTTTTAGATAAACACAATATTATAGACCCAGGGGTCAGCCCATTGAGACCACAGGTGGTTTTGAAGCCCTGGCAGCTGTGTGAAGGTGCATGGGAGTGGGGGAAATAGAATCTGGGTAGCACCTCACTGGCCACACTAACTTGACAAGATTTGGTTTGCAACTTTGCTAAAAAAAAAAATCATTCATTTAGCCAGCCACACATGGCGGTGCATGCCTATAATCCTAGCAACTCAGGAAACTGAGGCAGGAAGATCACAAATTGAAGGTCAGTCTAGGCAACTTAGCAACTCTGCCTCAAAATATAAAATAAAAAGAGCTGGGGGTGTAGCCCAGTGGTAGAGTGTCCCTGGGTTCAAATTCCAGTAACCCTCCAAAAAAATCATCCAGTTATTATGGAGTGCATGGGTCCTTAGTTGACATGTACTGGGCTCACATATTCCCAATGACCACATGAGTGAACTCAGGCACCACACCAGGGAGCAGAATCTCCAAGAGTCTGAGAAACTTGTCTGATGGTGCAGGGCAGGGGAGGGTCTTGGCACTGACCCCAGATCAGTGTTTCCGCCTCCTGTGTTCCAACCACCAGGGGGCGCCACACACTGCAGCACATGCACCTAGGGGTCACCCAGACTTCCAAGTCATCCCTCAGTATGAGTTCACAGGTCAGGGGCAAGTTTGGGCATCTCTATTCTCCAGGAGTGCTCTGTGTCTTCAAACCTTTCTAATGGTGGCTTGCCAGTAAGAAAGGCATTTTACATCACTGCACAGGAGACAACATGTATGTAGTTCCTGAGTCAATATAGCTGAAAACATCTATCCTTACACCATGCAAGCCCTCAATGTTTCCTTTGTCATTTTATTCTATTTCATTTAGAAAATGCAGGGGGCAACCCACTGAATGGATTGCATGACCCACTCAAAATGTCTACCATGGTTGGCAAACTCCGACTTGAACTGCTTGGATACCCAGGGTTGAAGCCTCTTGGCCTCTCTCTTGCAACCTCCAATCAGAAGTGGATGGTCAGGAGCCATCATAGTGGTGCACGACTGTAGTCCTAGCTCAGGGGCTCAGGTGGTGGGACATGATCTGCTCAGAGTGGGGATACAGGCGGTGGAGCTGGAAGCCAGGCTTCCTGGGTCCAGGGCATCTTGCATGTCAGCTTTCTTGGGAGACACAGCGCCTGGGTTTTGTGGACAGAGTGAGGATATTTTGTTTCCACAAACAAAATCCTGCCTTCCTACCCATATGACCCCCATCCCCAGCTCCTGCAGTGGCAGAAGGACTTTCATATTTTTATTTTGACTCTTCAATATGTAAAGCAGGGTGCAGCTATTGGGGTCTCAGTCAGCTTTTGCTAACAAAATCAAATCCATAGGCTTTCTCTGGCAGCCAGAGCCAGGGCATGTAATCTGTGGCTGCTTAAGGGAGCCACTTTCTGGTGAGAGGAGCAACCTGTGGTCTGTTTTAATTGTGGACAAGCCATGTACCCAGGATACTCTAGGCGGGAACAGGCAAATCCTAGATTTGAGTGTGAGACACACGGGGATTAGTGGCAGATCAGTCAAATTCCCTTCCCTCCGCCCTCTTGGCTAGCATGTGTCAGCCTGAGCACTCCTCCAGGACTTGTGAGACGAGCAGAGCCCTGGAGATTCACAGACAACGCTTTACAAAACAACCACAACCGTTTTGTTCTAAGGTACTCTAAGGATCCCCAGTCACAAATAATTAATCGCAATTACATAAAAGCAACACACTGTCACTGTCCCTGAGTCCTCACTGCTCAGGGAAGATACTCAACAGACTTTTTTGCTGACAGTGGGGGTGGATAACATTGCTGTTCTCTGCCCTGATACAATACAAAGGCAGGATCCAGCATTAGTCAGCGCCCATCCATGGAGGGGATAGGCTAATCCACCAACACTGACCATGTGCTCTGTGTGGGGAATGGTGGGAGATGCCCGAGGAATGTCAGAAGGGTCCCCATCTCAGTTGTCTCCATTATCATTGGAACCAGGCTCTGCCTGCCTGCTCCCTACCTCATCCTAGCGTGATGTCCTGCATACAGCAAGTGCTCAGTCCATGTACAAAAACCCTTCTGCCTCTGGCAGCATTTCCCAGAGCATGTTCTGAAGGGGGCTGATAGCTTTGAGAGCTGTCACCTGAAAAACAGGGCAGGGGTGGCGCTAAACGTCACATCAGTCTAGTTAACAGGTTGTATATGGTACACATTGTTGGAATCTTTGATGTGCCAAAGAGTGCTATGAGTCTCTTAGGGGGAAGCATTTCTCAAATTTATTGGATGACAGATCTTCTTCTTCTTTTTTTCTTTTTCTGGTGGTGCTGGGGGTATGTGTGCGAGGCAAGCACGCTACCACTGAGCAATACCCCACCCCTAAGACCTCCTTTTCTCTGGATTTTCCCAGGAATGGTGTCCTTTGGAGATGCCGTGACTCATCCCTTACGTACAGTGACCCCAAAGCTCACCTCCCCACCTGCCCTGCATGCATCCAAGGCTTAAAAGGAACCAGAGTGCCAGGTTGGGGCATGGGGGCGGTGTGGTAGGCTGGCTTCAGTGATTCACATCTAGACCTGCAAAATGTCCCATGACTATAGGGCACAGAATTTTTGTTTGGACAGTTCAAGAACTGCAGAAGCTGAGAATGCTCGATCTGGGATTCTGTGTGCTGTTCTCAAAATTTTTTTGCATTCCTCTGCTTGGCTTCCCCTGATGTCTAAAGGTGAGCTTGTCTTTGGCAGTCCTATTGTCAGGAGGCCAGGAGGGTCCCCAGGGTAGGAAGGCCCTGGCATCTGACTGGGTGGAAGGAAGGTTCTTGCTGGGGACAGGTGGGCAGGGCCGCTGAGGCTCCCTGGTAGAGAAATCACTACTTTACCTGTACAAAGCTGAACTCCCTCCAGTTGAGCGAGTTTGCGATGGACGGCAGAGAGGTGACGGCCAGCAGGGACAGCGTGCCGAGGGCCAGCACTCCCAGGGAGACGTATATCTCCATTCGCCAGACTTCCTCCTCCACCCAGAGGTGGCTCTTGTTGGCTACCTGACATGGACGGAAGGAAAACCATGAACACAGAGGCAAAGGCTGGTGCTCTGGGAAGTGTGGGAGCGTGTGCTAAAGAACAGGAGCTGCTACCGCCCCTACCCCCACCTGACACCCACCAAGTGCCCGATTGTGTTCTAAGTGCTTCTCAGGCATTCGCACAATCATGCCCTGAGATGGAGATCACTATTAACCCATTCTACAGATGGAGGCACAGAGGTCAAGTCACTTTCCCCAGGTCACGGGTTCCCAGAGTCTTACACATATCTGTCTGGGAGCAGCCAACCAGCCAAGAGCAAGGAGCCAGAGAGATCAACAAGAAAGACACTTTGAGCAAAACTGTATCACACGGATTTTCAATCCCTACATCACAGGACAGCAAGAGGGGCTCTTCCAGCATCCCCCCAGCCAGGTGGGCTGGCACCTCTGCAGGCTGCCTCCTCTCTCAGCCCATCTCCCGCTGGACCCTTGTTCTCCCTGGTCCCCACAGTCTGCCTCTGGCTCACCCCTCAGGACACACAGACACACAGAGTTATTGACCCCCCAACATTTCCTGACTCAAGTCCCCATCTTCCCACCTACTCGTTCATTTCTGCCTGAGGCACATAACTTTGGTCCAACTGTTGCCAGGCAACAGAGACTGAAATCCATTTGCCAAACCATTTAGCAACCACTTAGGAAGTACCTACTATGTGCTGAGCCCTGGGCTGCAGACAGCAGGGATACCTGCTTTCACAGAGCTCTATGATCCTTACTAAGCTCCAGGGATTCATACACGGGAGACTCTCTGCAAACCTGAAGATTCCCCCTCCTCTGCCCACGTGGACCACCCCTGCAGATGAGCCCACTCCTAGCCTGGTGACAACCAGAGGCAGAGCATACTCAAGAGGAAGACCTTGTGTCAAGGTCCTTCCATTAGGGATCATCATCTCCCAGCCCGCCCAGGTAGCCGAGTTCCTGGAAGTCAGTGTGTTTTCTGAGAAGCCCCAAGAGATGCTCGTTACTTTTATCTCCCAGCAGAACAAGCAGCAGTAAGTGTGACAGAAAATGTGACTCTTCTTCAGTAGGCTGGTCCCTGCCTCTTAAAACAGAATGACTCACATAGGTTTATTTTTTGAGAAACTACTTCAACTACGAAAAAAAAAGAAAGAAAAAATAATGTAAGCCTAGTTACCAGATAAAATATTAAAAATGAATCCAGGGGCTCAGTTAAAACAGCTGAAAGGCTTATTGAGGGGAAGTTTAAAGAAACTGAGAAAAAAAAATTATGGGCTCTATGTTATTTAAGGATATTAGGGGGAGATGGCTCATGTTGGAGGTATTGCTTTTTGTTGCTTTCTGCTTCTTCTTCCCCCACCCCCCCATGCTGTTGGGATGGAACCCAGGGCTTCGCACATGCTAGGCAAGCACTCCACCACTGAGCTGCACCCCCATGTCTTTAAGCCATGAAAGGACCTGGAGACCCTGCTTCTTGTCCTGACCACTAGTCGTGACTCTGGAAAAGTGCCTTGGGCCTCAATTTCTCTACCTGAGAGACACGGATGAGGTCATGTCTGAAACTATGGATTTCCTCATGTGTCAGAAACCGCTAGGGCAGCATTAGCTAGTAGGTTGCAGCTAGGACCACACGAAGGGCACAGGTCCCCTCCACAGCAGTGCCCAAGGGGACTGAGTCACTCCTGGCAGTGTTAACCATGCTCCCAAATAAGTCATCTCCACGTGGCAAGCTGCTTGTTCGTCAACTCCACTTCATTAGTCACTCCTTCCTGTGTCTTGGTAAGACCTAGCAGTTAATGTCATAAGTCAGGGTTTGGAGGACTGCACACATATACCACGCCGGCTTGCAAAATGTCTTGTTATTTTCCTTTGGATGTTTCCATTCTGTGGCGATGCTGGCAAGGGAGAGGTGGGGCAAGGGAGCAGTGGACGGCCAAGGACCTGCGTCTTGGTCACCCTGACAGCCTGTGAAATACATATGTGACCTCCAAGGTCCCAGTGCTGCCCAGGCCTGATGGCTCTCTGCTCCCCTAGGAATCCTCCTACAAAGGACTATAGTCCTGCAACTGGGACCTCCGTGTGGGCTCTTGGTAGTCAGAAGAGGCGACTACAGAGGGGTATTTTTACTGCTATGGTTACTCTGAGGGTACCAAGGAGAGCGGTCACCAGCCAGAGAGGGACTCAGTCGTGGGATTTTCTTTCTCTTCTGGGTGTGGATTGGATGCTGTAGGATGCAGGGCCAGGAGGCCCAGTGAGGCTGCAGCGGTGTCCCTTCTCCAAGGCCCCGTGGTGGGCGGTGGTGGGGAGAGGGTGATGCCCACGGCCGGAGGAGGCTCCACATCAGAGGAGGAGTAGGGAGGGAAAGGGGCAGCCAGGGCAGTGGAGTCGAAGCATCACAGCTCCATAGATCTGGACTCAGATGCCAACTCTGTCTTGGGGACAGTCATGAGACCGTGGGCAGTGCCTTCCTTGCTAGGAGCACCACTGTGTCTCTGGCTGTCACCCAAGGACTAAGTGGATGGTGTGTGTGAAATGAGTAGCATGTGACTGGTACGTAGGAGATGCTGGATATAACAAATGGCTGGGGCTCTGGTTCTTTAGTGGCAGTTGAGCAATTAAATGAGCACTTAGCCAGGCGCGGTGACACACACCTGTAATCCCAGCAGATCTGGAGGCTCAGGCGGGAGGGAGGATCAAGAGTTCAAAGCCAGACTCAGCAACTTAGCAAGATTCTGTCTCTAAATAAAATACAAAAAAAAAAAGAAAAAAAGGCTGGGGATGTTGCTCAGTGGTTAGCACCCTGGGTTCAATCCCCAGTACCAAAAAAAAAAAGAATTCTGTCTGAGCTCTACGTGCTCCTCTTAGGAGATGGCTGGCATTGGCTTTGTGGCCATTTTCATTTTCAGGGTCACTCAGTGAATGTGCATGGGGACTCTGTTAGGAATCTTGGCCCTCCAGGTGTGGAAGGTGATGAACTGTATGATGAATTGTTTTAGAAAAATAACAAAATAACAGAAGAATGTACCAAACACAGCAGGTGGGTATGGGGAAACAGGGGGAAAAGCTGGCAGAGCTTAAAAGAGGTAGGGTTTTGAAGGAGGAATAGGAGTTTGCCACACTGTGAAGGTGTCCCAGGGCAGGTATTCTAGGTCAAGGGAGATGAGTTCTGCCCATTTAGAGGACAATACAGGGCCCAAGTGTGATGTGTCACAGAAGCGGGGTAGAGGAGGCTGGAGGGGGGGGTGTGGCTCCACTGTGAACAGTCTACCCTTATCCCAAAGACATGGGGAGTCACCTTGCAGCAGTGATGTGGCCAGAGGAGAGGTTTAGACTGTTCTCTGATACTCATATGAAGATCAGATTTGGAGCAAGGGGCCTAGGGAAACAGTGGGCGGGTTGAACACTGATCTTGATTTTTTATTTTGATTTTGAAATGTATCTCTAGAGAACAGCACAAGCAAGTCAGAAAGCACTCTTCAAATATTAGTCGATGCTGCTCATAATATGGTCAACACACATGGTCTCAAAGGTCTGCTCGACACCTGGGATCTGTGCTTCCAAATCTGCAGACTCAGGGGCTTCCAGGAAACCCAGAAGGAGTTTCTCGCGCCCAGGCTAATGTGTTCCTTCACCTAAAGAGCACAGTGGGCCCTGGGGTGCAGAGCAGCACTAGTGAGGTGCTATGGGGAGGCGGCCAATGGCAGGCAGGGGAAGCTACACTTGAGGCACGTGCCACCAGGGAGGCCTGCTCTGGGGGACTGGATGCATAACAGGCTCAGGTGCCCACGTGCAGGACCTGGAGCATTCAACAGGTTTAATTAAGCACCTCCAGGTTAAGCGACTCCCTGCTCTGGGCTGCTTCATGTCAACCCCAGCAGCCTTCTGACCATGCCCCCAGACACAGCTGCCCTCTGACCACGCCCCCAGACACAGCTGCCCTCTGACCACGCCCCCAGACATAGCCCCTTAGTCCGGTTCTACCTTGAGAACTTTGTGGAACAAGTTGAAGCCCCTTTGCATGGCCAGCCTTTGATGCCATCCCATCCTGCAGAGTGATGGTTGCCTGGCAACCTCCACAGAGCCTGCAGCCCTAGATGGCTTTGGAATATCGGGAAAATTACCTTGTCTGTGCCCCTCTGTGCCCTGGTATTGGCATCAAAGCAAAATTGGTTAACATGACATCAAGGAGAGCCTTGGCCAGGTAGAGCATTTAGAGAAAGGCATAGGGCACTGTGGTCACAACAGTAATCCCAATTTAGGAGGGGGAGGCAGGGGGATTGCAAGTTCAAGGCCAGCCTTGTCAAGGCCCTGTATCAAAATTTTTAAAAAGGGGTGGTGGTGGTACTGGGGAGAAAAAAAAAAAGAGGAATTTAGAGAAAGGCCTGAAACACCTGCTACTCAGAGGAGAGGGCTTCCCGTTCCCCAAACACAGGGCTCAGGTTCTTCCACTCTCAGGGTCTGCCCCGTCCTGGGCAGCACAGTCCTCCCAAGAGCCCCACAGAACCTCCTGTGGAGAGGAACAGCTCTTTAGAAGTAAGAAAGTATCTGCCCGCTGGTGCCATGGCTCACACCTGTAATCCCAGCTACGCGGATGGCTGAAGCAGCAAGTTCAAGGCCAGACTGGGCCACTTAGAGACCCTGTCTCAACATACAAAATAAAAAGGACTGGGGCTGTAGCTGAGTGGTAGAACACCCCTGGGGTTCAATCCCCAGTATCAAGGGGAAAAAAAATCTAAGAGCATCAACATTAGAGTAGGAGAGACCTTGATCTACACACCACCACACAGGGCAAAAGAGGGCCTGGGATTTGCTCAAAGTCAAGACACTGGAGGGTAAGAATCCAGGGCTTGGCCTTCAGGCCTGCACGCGACACCTGCTAAGGTCAATCTTACTTTTTTCTGTAGCCCCCTCCTCCCCAGGGCCTAGCAGAGTAGGTGCTCAGTGAATGAGTGGAGGAATGAATGACCCAGTTCTGAGATCATATACTCTACTGCTAATTTGGCTGTTTTCCCAGGAAAAAGCACCATGGGTACAGCGTTGATCTGGAGTAGAATGGCTAAGTCTGAATCTTAGCTTTGCTCCTTATTGGCTTTGTGACTTTAGTCCAGTTACTCAACCTCTCTGTGCTTGAGTTTTCCTCATCTATAAAATAAGGTTAGTACAGTACTTGCCTTACAGAGATAAGACAGGGATTAAATGAATTCACAGTGGGTATGTCTGTAACACTCTTAGAATGGTACCCGGAACACAACAAGCTCTTTTTTAAGGGTTCGTGACTATTATTTTTTTTTTCCTTGCCTCTCATTTCTAGCAGGCCTCGCGCTTCTCTGCCTGAAGTCTGGGGTTCTTCCTGTCCCTTAGGAGAGACTGAGCCCACAGAGGCGATGGTGCCAGGTGTCTGTGGGTGGGGAAGACAAGGGCCCCTGAGAGGCTGCCAGCAAGAGAGCAGGAGCCCCGAGAGGAGCAGGGGCTGAGGTCTGTGGTTCCTTGGCAGGTGCCAGCCTCTCTTGCCTGTCCCCTGGGTCCCCATCCTTTGAGGCCATGTGCTGGGCGTGTCTGGGGAGGGTCACGGCATCCAGAGCGGGGTCAGGAGCTGCAGGCCCACCCAGGCTGGACCAGGGGTGGAGGAGAAGCGTCTCACAGCACCTGGGCCAGCCCTGCCGCGAGACCCATCCTGGAGTGGGAGGGACCCTCGAACCAGCCGGCCCAGGGGTGGGGGGCCTGGAGGTGGGGTTCAGGAGCTGGAGTCGACAGAGTGGGGCTTGAGCGCCACGGGCCTGTTTCTGGGAGTCCGGCTGCCAGCTGACACCGCCTCTGTTCCACCTGGCTCGGCCCAAAGGCCCCCCCTTTCCCAGGGCTGCTGCTGGCAAAGGAACACCATATGGCTTTTCCAAATGAATAAAAATCCCAGCCCCCCAAAATTAAAAAAAGCCACAAACCAGAAACACTTACTCCAGAAGGCCACCGCAACTTAGCTGATGGCAGCTGAATCCTTCCAGGTGCTCAGACCAAAATCCCCCGAGACATCCTTGCCCTGTAGCCGGCGACCCCAAGCCCATTCCATCTGCGATTCTGTGCGCTCCTGCTTCCCAATCCGCCTCCGGTCCCTTCCTGGCCCTGTGCCGCTCCATCCTGCTGCCACCACCTCCACTTCTAGCAGTGAAGCATCAGGCAGATCACCAGCAAGACTGAGTCACTGGACCCTGCACTGGCTCCCTGCTCCTCTCAAGCTCCAAGGGCCAAGCCCTTCCTTGACCTTCAAGGCCCTGGGATCTGGCTTCCATCTTTCAGGCCTGCGCACCACCTGGCCCCTGGCTCCAGCCTCCCAGGCCTCTCAGCTGTCCCTCAAGCATGCCTGAGGGACATGTTTCTTGTGAGCTTCCACTGAATGCACCCTGACACTCAAAGTCATGGGCAGCTGGACGTGGGCACCACCCAAGGAGCAGGATCTGCAGGCAGCCACTGGCCCAGCAGCACCAGGTACACAGACAGTGCTGGACAGACAGTGCAGGCCAAGGGGCGGGAAAGGGAGGGTGTGGGGCTGATACCTGCTCGACAGCCAGGTTGACCAGCTCGTAGCGGGAGGAGCGCAGCAGAGGCAGGCAGAAGCTGTAGACGGCGTGCAGAGCCGCGCAGTAGAAGCTGAGCAGCCCAATCTGCTTGCGGTGCTGCAGCCAGTGGTCCAACCAGTCGGGGAAGCGGCGGTATTTGGTGCCTCGTCGCAGCTGCAGAGCGGCTGCCAGCACGCCAGGCAGGTAGACCAGGGACAAGAGCACGTAGGCCACACAGGGCAGCGTGGTGTTGACCACAGACACGGGCAGCTTGTAGAACTTGTTCTTGCCCTTTTGCACATAGGGGTGCAGCACGTCGCGGACGAAGTTGTAGGCATAGAAGCAGACAAAGAGCCCCAGGGCCAGGAGGGTGGGCACCTTCCAGCTTGGGAGGAGGCGCAAGGGCATGGCCTCTACCTCCCGGGCTGATGCCAGGGATCCCATGTCCACAGGCATGAAGCCCATGGCGTGCACCATCTCTGAGATGGTACGTTTGGCTTCTGGCTGGTCACTACAGATGGGCACCTGTGAGGAGGAAAGAAGACAATTATATGTGGTCACAGGCTATAGGAGTGGGCAGGATCTCAGTGACCACCTGGGCCAAACTCCTGTCAGCTGAGAAAAATAAGGCACAGAGGGCTCGTCCAAATGAGTGGTCAATCAACAGTCAGCATAAGGTGGCTGACTCCCAGGCCAGGGGTCTTCTCAGGGCCCCCTGTGGCCTCCCGGGCTCAAGCCCAGCATGCACAGCAAGGTCCACCACTCAAGGAGGGAAACTGCAAGTGAGCGTCCTGCCCAGCTCAGGGATATCAATAGCCACAGGCCAAATGCCCACCTAGGTAGCTTCCCTGGTCCCCAGGAAGAATGGCTTTCATGACTGCAGCCTGCCTTGGAGTTACTCAGTGACAAGGTCCAGACACGGGCCTGAATGTGTACCCCTGGCTGCAAGCTCCATCCCTCAGTATGGAAGTGTGCCCTTTGATGATGTCCCTTGGTTCCACAGGGACCTCAGCCCACCCATGAGGCCTTTCCCATGCCAGCCCTGCCTCCCTTCTCTGCCCCTGGCCCAGCTGTTTCTTATGAGCGTCCACTGAATGCACCCTAGTGTCCTTGGATCTCCAGGCACTCCTGGGGTCACTGTGGTTCACTAACTGAGCACTTAGTCTGTGCTGCCTTTATTCACATGATCCTCGGCCTTGCCACAAGCCTGCAGGTAGGTACAACTGTCCCCATTTTTCAGACGAAGATACTGAGGCCCGAGAGCATTTTTTTTTCCTTGCCTTTTTGACTTTTCAGGTTGGCCCCTCAGCCTCAAAAGCCCTCTCTGCTAATATGAGGCAGGTCCAGGTCAAAGCCCACTTCAGTCTTCTCCAGCTAGCTCGCTTGCTCCGGTCCCTCCAGACCCTGCACCCCACTCTCACCCACTGCAGGAGTTCTGCCATGCAGAGTGTACTCAGACCTACAGTCAGGCTGGCCAGTTTCTCTGGACTGTCTCACAGAGCCTGGCACCCGGCTGGACTCAGTGGTGGGTATTCTCCCACAGGTGTGGAGTCTGGCCCTCTCCCCCATGAAGGTGCAGGTGACCTTTTTGGCATTAAAACCCACCTTGTCTGGGTAGGAGCTCCTCCTGCCAAGAGATGCACACAGCTCTGACTATTCTCCAGAGATCTATTTCCCCTCACCAAACCTGCTGCTGATTGTCCTAAGAAACTTTCTCAGTTCTTAGAAGTCCTTGGCATAAACCTGATAAAGTGTGGGACCCGCCTGTCTTCTCAGGGCCTGGTATGGAAATGTGTTCTTTTTTTTCTTCCTGACTCCAGTTCTGCAGGCAAAGTCTCTCCTGTTTGGCTCCAAATACTAAAAAGTCACCACCCTTTTCTCCTCATCCCCTAGGAAACCAGTCACCATAAGAGAAAGAACATGGGTGCTCTGATTTGGATCTAGAACTCCTTCAGGGCTGGGGATGTGGCTCAAGCGGTAGCGCACTCGCCTGGCATGCATGTGGCCCGGGTTCGATCCTCAGCACCACAACAAAGATGTTGTGTCCGCTGAAAAAATTAAAAAATAAATATTAAAATTCTCTCTCTCTCTCTCTTTAAAAAACAAAAAACTCCTCCAAAGGCCTGTTGAAGGCTTGGTCCCCAGCTGGTGGCACTGTTGGGAGGTGGCAGAAACTCTAGGAGGGAGTAAATAGCTGACAGTGTATCCCTGAAGGGTATATTTTGTTCCAGCCTTTCTGTCTCTTTTTGACTAGTCACCATGAAGTGAGCAGCTTTTCTCTACCATGCCTTCCTGGCCAACATATCCTGACTTACCATTGGCCCAGAGCAATGGAGCCAGTTGATTGTGAACTGAAACTTCTGACACCATCAGCCAAAATACATCTTTCCTCTTTTAAGCTGATTTATCTCAGGTATTTTGTCACAGTGACAAAAGGCTGAGCAACACAATAGGTTTCAGACCCATATGACTAGGATTCAAATCCTTCATCAGCTATATGCTTTGAAATAAGATCATCAGCATCTCTAAGCCTCAGTTTCCTGGCTGGACAATGGAATTTGGCAGTGATGTGCAAGACTGGCTAAGACAAGGTGCATATAAAGCTTGGCATGCTGATAGCCCTCAAAGAAAATGAGCCATTTATATTTATTGTGATGATGGTTGTTATTCTCCCTGAACATACCTGCCTGTTCCCATCCCTCGGGCCAGCCTGCAGGGTCCAGGCGGAGATGACGTTGAAGGCCTTGACCACCGTGCAGGTGGGGAAGAGAGAGGCCAGGTATTCGGCGTTGGACTCACGATGCTGGAGGTGCTCCTGCTCCGTGGGATTGCTCACGTCCACCAGGATCTTGCCGACTAACTGGTCACTGAGATCACACAGCGAGGAGTAGTGCTCCCGGAACACAGCCAGGAAGATGACTTCTGGGGAGCTCACGGCCTCCTCCCTCAGAGTCACCTGGGCTGAGGAGGGGAACAGCCCGGCTGTGCGCTTGGGATTACGGCTTCCCACCACCACGCTGAAGCCAGAGCCTATAAGGCGTGTGGCCAGGGAGCGGGCAAAGTCCCCACTGCCCAGAATGCCCACTTTGGGGGCCTTGCTGGGGGCCTCCGCGAGGCTGCCGTCACTGTCCACCACGCAGCGGCTGATCAGTGGCTTGTCCATCTCTCCTGACATTTTGGTGGCTGTAAGAAAGCAGGAACTCCATCACTGATTGTTCCCTCCTGCCCCTGATGCCCCCTTTTGTCCACTGTGGAGGGTCACACACTCACTTAGCAGGTGCTCTCTGAGTGCTACCATGTGCTAGCATCGGGGACATGCTGAGCAAAACCAGCTCCTGCCCTGAGGAGGGCACAGGCTCAGGAAGAGGAAGGTGATGGACTCCTGTCCCCCACCCTTTGCCTCTCCTGCAGAATTACCTCCTGGGGACAAATTGGCAGGGTGGGAATCCTGGGAAGGAGGACATGGCGCTTACACAGCCAATGCTGCGCAGTCACATACTTCTTTTGCAAAGGATTATGCTCTGGACAGTGTCACCAGCCAGGAGTGGCCACTCAACCCAGCCTCGTCATGGGTGTGTGTTGTTGTCTATGGTCACTGGCAGGGTTAACATGTTCCTGGGCAGGGCCTCCTCTTATGACTCTGGGCGTCACTGTTTGTCACTGGGTCTGGCACAGACCTGGTGCTCAATGTTTGCTGAATGAATGGGTGAACACCAAAACCCTCCTCTGAGGGTCTGGGGAGACATGGGAATGAATTGGACCCTGAGATACGGTGGGTGCCCTGTGATGGTATTATGGTTTAGAGTGGTGTCCCCCAAAAGCTCATGAGATGATGCAAGAAGGTTTGGAGAAGTGATTGGGTTATAGCCTTAACCTAATCACGTGAATTGACCCCCCTGATGAGATTCACTGAGTGGTAACCGGAGGCAGGTGGGCTGTGGCCGGAGGAAGTGGTTCACTGGGGACCTGGCTCTGGGGTATATATTTTGTATCTGTCAAGTGGAGACACTCTCTGCTTTCTGATCATGATGTGAGCTGATGCTCTCTGCTACTCCTCCACCATGATGTCGGGCCTCACCTCCAGCCCCAAGGAAATGGAGCCAGCTGTCTAGGGACCGTGACCTCTAAAATCCTGAGCCCTCAAATAAAATCTTCCTCCCCTACAGTGGTGCTGGCCGGGTCATTTAGTCACAGCAGTGAAAAAGCTGACGACTAAAGCAGGTGGGAAAATGACATTTTAATTGCTACCAACTTCTAATTGAAATTGGCTCTTTCCTTCACGTATGAAGCAACGAACCACAGAGTATTGGCAGGACCTGTGTGTCACCAGGACTGATCGATGTCAAATCACAAATTCAATTGTCAAAGAGTTCTCTGAGTACTAGTTAAACTTACCTTTAATTTCAAATTACAGTAGAGTGGGGATTCAATCTGCAGAACCCCCCCACAACACACACACATTAAGGTAGATATTAAGTCTGCTACTGGCTCTTGTTCCTTATGTGAATGCATACTACATGCATGCACATAAATAAGCATGCATATTACTAAAATGCATCTCTTTCGTGGTACTGGGGACTGAATCCACACATGCTTTACCACTGAGCTATATCCCTGGCACTTTTTATTTTGAGTCAGGGACTCACAAAGTTGCTCAGGTTGGCCTTGAACTTGCAATCCTCCTGCCTTCAGCCTCTGAAGTTACTGGGATTACAGACGTGTCCCAGTTTAAACTGGAGAAACTGAGGCTCAGAAGGATTGAGAACCTGGTTCCAGGCAGTGACTGTCCCTTGAGAGTTACAGGACACAGTTCCCATCCTGCCTCTGCCCCTTTAACCTCTCACTCTTTCAAGTGGTTTTAAAACATCACCCTTGTCTCTTATAGGACAGCAGGGACTGGCCAAGCTAAGCCCCTGTGGGTGGTTTTGTGGCAACCATGCCTGCTTCCTGACTCCAGATGGAGGGGCCACGCCCACACAGGACACACGGTACCAGGCACTTCCCGCACCCCATCTCACCAGACTCGACCTCCTGCAAAATGGGAAAGGAGACTTTCTGCCTGGTTCTCGGACGTTCCCCAGTGAGGGAGATGAGCTACCCTTTGTTAAGTGCCCATGGGCTTCCGGACCCACCCCACCTTGCAGACTTGGAGTCACACACCATGACAGGAAGGGCTGTGCTCTAGAAGGAGCCAGACAGCCGGGCATGGGAGGCTGAGGCAGGAGGATCACGAGTTCAAAGCCAGCCTTAGCAATGACGAGGAGCTGAGCAGCTCAGTGAGACCCTGTCCCTAAATAAAATACAAAATAGGGCTGGGGATGTGGCTCAGTGGCCGAGTGCCCCTGAGTTCAATCCCTGGTACAAAAAAAAAGCCAGACTGCTGTGTTCTGATTGACTCTAGTGCCTACGGAGTGACCTAGCGCCTGTCTGTGACTCAATTTCCCCAGCTGTAAAAGGGAGACAGAGAGCTCAGAACAGCACTGGGCACGTGTTAAGCACTTGGTAAAGGGCAAGTGATTACTAAGCACATACTGGTCGCCAGCAGAAGCCGAGCTCTGCACCAGCAGCAGGCAGGAGGTGGAGGAGGAGGAGGTGAAGACCCCTCCAGAACCCTGCTGGCCCCAGGAAGAGGATGAGAGCTGGTGGGAGGGGAGCTGGGGCAGCGGCTCCACAGACCAACATCAGGGACCCTCCCAGAGAATCCAGGGTCCCTGTGGTTGGGAGGGTCGAGGCTTCCCCTGTGGTCAGGCAAGGCTGGAACGGGCATCCCAGTTGCGCATAGCCAGGGGGCAGTTCTGCCCTGAGAGGGAGGGAGGGGAGCACACAGAGGCTTCCAGACGGTGTTCCCACACTTGCTAGCATGTGGATCCCAAGCAGATCCCCTCCTGGACAGTAGCCTGTACTTGTCTTTGCTCACTTCCTCCTGTCTCCTAGTGTGCGGAATGCTCAGAGAAGTATAAAGATGGGCAAGACACAGGGGCCACTCTTGGCTGGTGCCCATCTCATCTGTGCATGTGGGGGAGGGGGGCTCGGATAAGACCATTCATCAAGCACTGGACACGGGTGCTGGGTAGCTCGGAGGGGTGCAGGCCTGGCTGGGGCTCTTGTCCAGGGGACCGACACCACCTCCCAAGGGGAAGCCAAGGAAGGCTACACACACAAGAATGTGCCACCTGATGGTGCTTGAAGAAGCCCGGATTGGCTTACTGCCTAAAAACAAATGGAGCCAACCCAAAGTTAGGGAAGGCTCTCAGACTCAGACCTTGAGTCTTACCTATGCTGTACCCCAGACCCAGCATCACAGGTGGGAAGGGATGGTATGGATCGCCCTCAAGGTCATGGCTCCAATAAATTTTGGAGCAAATTTGGTATCTGCTTCCTTTTAGGGAGTTGAAGGGCAGCCACAGCAAAGGGATGTCAGGGGTGGAGGCCAGGAACCTGGGGCTGAGCCCATCTCTGTGCCCAACTGGTACTGGGACATTGGAGTATCACCAAATTTATCTGAGAGGCTTCTCTGACACGAGCCACTGAACTAGATCCTCTCCAAGTCCCTCCCAGTCCTGGCAGTCTAGCAATCCACTTAAAAGTCCCTGACAGCTGGGCATGGACCTGGAATCTCAGCTACTCCAGAGGCTGAGGTAGGAGGATTGCAGGCTCGAGGCCAGCCTCAACAACTTAGCGAAAGCCTCAGCAATTTACAGAGACCCTGTCTCAAAATAAAAAATAAAAACGGTTGGGGTGTAGAGGTAAAAGCACCCCAGGGTTCCATCCCTATTACCACTCCCCTCTCGCCTACACAAACATGACACACCTCTAAAGCACTTCTTGCCAGGACATCAGTCCTTGGGACAGGAAAATGCTGGGTGGACTGTGAGGTCTCTGTGAGACCTCCCTGCCCTGGGGCAGCTCCTTCCTCTGCATTCCCAAGGCAAAGACAAAGCCACTGGAGTCAAGGGAGTTATTAGGTGGGTGGCTGAGGGTCTGGGCCAGGCTGCAGGGGTCAAGTCATGGTCACAAGGTCACTAGCTAGCTGGACACCTTTGGGCAAGTTATGCAGCCTCCCTGTGCCTTAGTTCCCTCTATTTCAAGGCAGGGACACTGGTTTACTTCCTTAAGGGTTGTGCAAGGACAAAGGGGCTAATGTGTGGAGGAGCTCAGAGTTCTGTGTGTGTGTGGCGCACACACACATGGACTTGTGTTGTCCTCCAAGTTCCTCATGGGCAGTGGTTACATCAAGTTCTGCCCTCCTGGTGCCCAGCATGAAGCCTGCTGCAGGTCTGAAGACCAGTGGGGGTGGGGACAGGCTAGGTGATACAAGTCCTGGAGGCTCCAAAGGCCCAGCAGTGGTGTCTACCGGCTCTTGCTTGTGCCTGTGGCCTGAGCGTGAGGGTGGATCAACTGGTCTGGGCCCAGGCTCTCTGAGGTTCTATTTATAGGTCCAGTGAGAGAGCAGAGAGGGGATCAAATTGCAGCTGCTGGGTGGAGGCCTGAGGCCCACACAGCCCTGATCTGTGGAAAGGACATAGAGGTTGGATGTCCTGATACCTTGGTCTCTGCCTAGACTTGCCTGTCCCCTCTCACTTCCTAGCAGGGCCAAAACCTGGGCTGTGATTGTGGCTGGGAGACTCACCTGGCCCAGAGGCTGCCTGTCAGCTCCCCGTGCTCTTGGGCAGGCTACTGACTGTCGTAATGATAGCACACGGGGCCCTTCAGACCCGCGCCAGAGCAGAACTCCTTCCAAAATGCATCATGCACTTTAAGAGCAGGCAGCCAAGCCCTCACCCAGAACCCAGCAATCTTCCCAGGCTGCTGGGCTTCCCCTTGATCTTTTTTTATCCTTTTTTTTTTTTTAAACCAAGGATTTAACCCAGGGGCCCTTAACCACTGAGCCACATCCCCAGCCCTTTTTATAGTTTATTTTGAGACACAGTCTCACTAAGTTGCTCAGGGCCTCACTAAGTTGCTGAGGCTGGCTTTGAACTTGTGATCCTTCTGCCTCAGCCTCTTGAGCCACTGGGGTTACAGTGCACCACTGTACCTGACTAATCTTTTTGTTTTTCCTTTCTTGGTGCCGGGGATGGATCCAGGGCTTTGTGCGTACTAAGCTCACGCTCTACCCCTGAGTAACACCCCTCGTCCCTAATGGTTTCAGAAAACATTTTTGTAGGTTCTCCACCTCCTTT